TACGATGTTTGGCAGAAGTAAATCGTAGACAGTCTGAATTCGCTGATTTCTTTTAATTACCAATAACTTCCATTTAGCCTCAGCGTAGGAGGGACTACAACAGCGTGGGGTTTATTAATTCACGGCACAGCCCATTAGGGCTACCTCTTCAAGAGAAAGAACGGCTCGTAATCATGTTTCACATTGGTAAGAGCATGAAATTTCACATGCAGCCAGATTGTTTGGCGAGGTTTCACCCTAAATCGAACTACGAGTGTTCATATTTAGCTCGGCTACTTGTAGGCCACAGGGAACGTAGAAACAACTTCTTAACAGCAATAAGCACTTTTCACAGCAGTCAACAACTACGTATGACTCAGCACAAGTTGCAATAAAGAAACTGAAATCGTATTTTATCTCATATAAATTTTATCTCATATCAGTTTTAATCTCATATAACTGAAATTTGCGTAATGGATGAATTATTATGATAAAAGCGTAAAAAATAGGACAATATTAAGATTTAACCCCAACTATTAGGAACAAAATGCATACCACAAGTTATTACGGAAATTATAAAAAACATGAGTGATTTAAATTATGTACCCAACTGGGATGTTTAGAAATGTACCCAAATGAGAACAGTGGGAAGAAATGGATACTGTTTTGATACCTATTGTTGATTAGTGGTTATAATATGTATGTACCACCATTTTTTACTTGGGATCGAACTGCGACATGGTTCTCTGCAAATTGGAAGAATACTTGTATTTTGGTTATAATTGTATCTGATAAAATTTTAGTAATCAAAGGATGAAGAAAGGGAAAGACTTAATTTATATATATTTTCCTTTTAAAAATTTTAAATGCTGAAAGTTAATAGAAGAGTATGATCAAATTGCTATTTTAAATAGAGAGAACAATATCTTCATTTTTCAAAGTAAGAATCACGCAGAAATTTAATTAATATTTGACGCAATTATGGCTGTCTAGAATGCATTACTTTTCTTAAATGCGGCAGAATTTTATATACTTAACTTAGCTTTAGAATAATAATTTCAACGACTTACAGACGGCGTTTCTCATTTACCCATCCAATACGAAAGCATCATTATTATCCGGTTTAATCATACAGAAAATAAGCAAGTCCCGCTTGTGCGATTAGTCGTCGTGGATATTTTGCTTCTTCTTTTCGGTTCAGTGATTCAGTTCTGCTAGTAAGTATACTAAGTGGATTATGTCTGTCAAATATCGTTTTGATTTTTTCGAGATATAATACGGGGAAATAATTTCGCGCGCTAATTATTTCTGCGGTGATTTCACTTAACTGTTAAATGCAGATAAGGATTAAAGTAATTTGTTTAAGAAAATTCAAAATTTAACTGCAGAAAATCCATTTTTAGAAACAACGAAGTTTGTTTTATCATGTGATGAAAATGAGGGATACGTTTCTTTAACCAGAAGTAACATCAACTCTTCGAGTTGAACTCAATTTGCCTGAGGTTCCAGTGTGAGATCATGGTGAGAGTAAAGGGTAATCCATTTAATTTACCATAGAAGGTAACATATTTTTTACCATAGAAGGCGAGTGTTACCCGCAGTTTTATTCTTTTGGGGAATGTGTGAGAGTGTTATCTGACTAACAGGAGTGATGCCTTTGTAGGGAAGTTTCTAAGGGGAACTGGACTTATATTGTAAGGATTTTAAGATTTACTAATCTTTATTTTATTTTAAAACTAAGCTATCATCTCTTATTTTCCATTTACGGCCATAATAAGCGCGAGTAGAATTGTTTATACTAATGAGGTTGCAAACTGTATAGGTATTTAAGATGTGGCTTTCAGTCAAGAAAGGCCCACCAGCGGCCGAGCGGTAAAGTCGCTGAACACTGGTAGTTAGGTCCGAGGTTCGAATCCCGCAAACGAGCTGGCTGCATGGACGTTTTCGTGGTTTTCCCCTTGTCTAACGTGTATACGAGCCAGTTTCCCTTGGAAAGTCCTCCCCGAAGGCATCCCTCCCCTTAGGCACATAGCCCTCGAGGCTCTGCCATAATCACACACACACATGAACACACATTAGCCAAGAAAGAGAGAGGGAGTCTTCTTGCTGCTTTACCACGCGCGTGCTTTTCAGACAGTTCCTGTCGGCCTTTAAGGCCGAAACTTAGTTCCCGCTGATATTTGAAGACGTGTTGTAATTTTTTGCATTTCGCTCACGACATATGTAGTGTCAAAAGGCCAATCTTCGCGTTACTAGTCTCTGTAAAGCATGTAAGTTTCGTTCTTATTTAGTTACGTTAGTTTAATTATTTTCTACGTTAACTCTTATTTTAACATTAAGTCTTATTTTCTACGTTATTTTCTACGTATTACGTATTTTCTACGTTTTAGACCATAAATGCTGGTAACGGCTGTACGCTGTGAGTAATAAAAGGTAAAGTTAACCCTTCTTAGTGGTGTTGTTTGTCCTACACACACACGATCATAGTTTGAGTAAGCTCCCTGCTCCCATTCAGGATTAGTAAATGTTTTCAAAGGCAATTAGAAGGAACAGCAGTCCTGACAATATGCTGAATACGAGAAAGACTATGAAAACTTTCAGCAGCAAGCCTGTTTATCGGAATTTGAACCAGGTATAGACGGAGGGTATTCATAATCTATCTTTATTTATTTCGCCCACTAGCAGGGCATATAATATTTTCACTTAAATAAAATTAAACACGTACTACTATTTGCTGTATGGATTAGATTAAAAATTAGTTCTGGTTTCCATTCGTGGGAAAGCTATTTAGATTTTAAAAATAAAGCATACCAGATTCCAAGCCTGTTCTTCTAACTAAAAGCAATTCAACAATTTACTATTTAAAATTATATCAGAGCTTTACTTTTCAATAAAATTCTGTAGTCACAGTCTTTTTTTACTACAGTGCTGAATATAACTCAAAGTGACTCTCCTATACCTCTGGAAAATTTAACATGTAGCTTGAGACTTTGTCCTCGGCTTTACCTTAGTTATAAAAACAAAACAAAACAAACATATTATTATTGTTTATTTAAATATTTAATTTGAACCTCTATTAACTATGTTCAAATTTTTACTTCTGCACCCTCTCATTACTTAAATGAATAATAAAGAAAATATGGGCTTAAAACAGAGTAATAATAAAGCTCATTAAATAAATAACGATTCTTCAGGAATGCAAACAGATATACAGTAAATTCTTGCCGAGCGCGGAATTGTAGAATGCGGTTTTACTTTTTCGCATTATCTTAATTATTTCCATTTAATTCGTCCAACGCGAGAGTTTCACTCAAACGTTATTCAATGTTCATTCATCAATACTGATTGCTTGCTGGCATCAGTGGTGGCCAGAAATTATCAACAATTTTATATCATCATTTGATATTATATGTTTTAAGAACTGATTTCTTCAGTGATGTGTACATTTGATTTTTATTGCTTTTCCTCGTGTATCCATATGATCTTTTAATGTTGTTTCTAAACGTACATAAGTACATCCCTTCAACTAAAGAGAAAAAAAAAAAAAAAAAAAAAAAAGAGAGAGAGAAATATTTTATGTAGTTTTAAAAATAATAACATGCTTGAATTTGCAGAAGCAGAAATTTTGCATACTAAATTTTAATTATGAATCGAATAAGGGTGTAGAGACATTAGGTTATTTCTAAGCAGGAGACATGAAAAATTAGCAGTGCCCTTTCTGGGACTCGAACCATGGACCTCTCGAATACGCGCAGAGTGGGATGACCATTACACGCGAAGGCATGCTAAGAAGGTGGGAGAAATACTTCATAAGAGATATATTTAGCTTGATCATCTTGCAAAATAATGGATTGGACACCTTTGCATAGTCCAACCGTATTCACTACTAGCGAAGAAATTTTGGGCAACATACTTGAAGCTATCTTTCGCAATGACACACAGGAGACAGACTCAGCACGACAGGCGGACATCAGAGAACACTATGATAACTGTAATTGGACTACCACTGAAAGTGACTCGAAGCTGCCAGCGCCAAAAGAATTGCACAGAATAGTCAAGGCCCTAGTCAATAACAAGGCACCGGGCCCAGACGGCCTTGACAACATCTCAATCAAGGTTGTGCATCAAGCATGCCCAAAGCTCTTGGTTAAATTATGCGGCACATGTTGGAGACTGGGTCATTTCCCAACAACTATGAAAATAGCCGAGATCGTTCTCTTTCTGAAGGTCAGGAGGGGCCCCCGATGATCCAAGATCCTACAGGCCTGTCAGTCTGCTACCAGCCATTAGTAAAGTAGTTGAACGAGTAATACTGAGCAGACTCAATCATTTCTTAAGCAAAAGAAATATAATACACCAAGCTCAGTTTGGTTTTAAACAGGGTACTTCAACAGAGCATGCTCTGACCAGTCTGTTAGACACAATCAAGGATAACCGAAATAACGATCTGCACACAGCAGTCGTGTCAGTCGACATCCAAGGGGCATTCGATTCACTCTGGTGGCGGTCTTTCAGTGCCCGATTGAAATCCTCAGGATTATTCGCAGCTATTTGTCTGATCGGCAAATACAGATAACAATGCCAAATGACCAACTTCAACGACGACTGGTGCGTGGCTGTCCCCAGGGTTCATGCCTGGGCCCAGTCTTATGCAACCTGGTTGCCAACACGATATTTGATCTTTACAATGGTGATGAGACTGTCAAAGTCCAGGCATTTGCCGAAGACTTTCTGCTTTTGATCACTGGAAGACACAGACTGCAGGAGAATGTACAGCGAGCACTGAACCTCTTTGCACAATGGGCAGCCGATCACAAACTGGAAATTTCAGCGTCCAAAACTAACATTTTACTCATAGGGCGTAAAGGTCCACTGAGGCGGAATCCAACTATAAGATTATTAGGTCATCCAGTTAGGACTGTTTCCCAGTTGAAATATCTAGGTGTCATCATAGACAACCGCCTCAACTTATTCCACATTTGCATCATATATACCAGAAAGTAGTATCTCTTACCAATAACATGAGACGAACTACTGGCATGTATTGGGGCATTAGACCAGACATGTTGAAGATCTGGTATCGTACGATAACAGCGAGGGTGATTTTGTACGGGTCTTCAGCATGGGGTATTCATCTCAATGGAAACCTGAGAAGGAAACTCAATTCTATTCAGCGTCTCCAACTCCTCATGATTACTAAAGCTTATAGGACCACTTCGACAGATTCATTGCAGGTGCTCGCTGGGTTACCACCATTGGATCTTGTCGTGGAGAGGGAGGCTGGACAAGCACGGATCCTACGCATAAAGGAAGATTTTATCTTGTGGGGTACCAATTACCACGCTCGTGATTACGAGGATCATTCCCCTCGTTCTCTAGGACATCCGGCGGACATAAATTATGATGACAAAGTCACCATAAAGCCCTTAATTCCGGCTAGGCACGAAATTTGTCTTTATACGGATGGTTCCAAAACGGAGCTTGGCACAGGTAGCGGCTTCTGCGTCATGCGAGGCAATACTATCTGCTACACTTGGTCACAGAGGCTGTCAGATTACAATAGTGTATTTCAGGCGGAACTTGTAGCAATAAAGGCAGCATTAGATTATATTAAGCAAAATCTAACAGGACCAGTCAGAATACTGAGTGATTCAGCATCGAGCCTACTGGCCATTAAAGAACTCAACAGCAAAGCGGATTCTGTCCACATTATTAGGGATGCTCTACTTCAGATTCCCGAGTCCCAACGACCGTACTTGAGCTGGGTTCCAGCGCATGTAGGCATTGCTGGAAACGAAGAGGCCGATAGGCTTGCTAAGCTAGCAGCTAACGACTTGAATATGCCTGTAACACCCCTAAAAGCACCAGTTTCCTATTTAAAAAAGATTACCGAACTTAAAATGTTAGAAATTTGGCAACAGAGATGGAACAACTCCACCACAGGCCGCAGAACCTTTCGTTTCTTCCCCAAAGTTGGTCTGAATCTGGTCACTAGTAGTGCTCATCTTACACATTTCTTTACTGGACACGGACCATTTCCAAGCTATTTACGGCGCTTCAGATTAGCTACTTCAGACAGTTGTAGATGTGGAACACTAGGTGATCCGGATCACTTTGCTTTCGAATGCTCTCTCACGATACCATTTCATTTAAAAAAAAACCCTCTGAAGCACACTGGTCCGGGTGGTCAGACACCCTCAAGAGAAGTAAGCTCGCATTTAATCAGATTCATCGAGTAATGGACATTTGTGCTCGTGAATTCTGTTGAACAGAAGCGGTGTCAACAGCAGCTACAGCAGGCAATTCTATACCAACAACTTTCATAATTCTTACCTTACAAATTTGGTATCTTATTATATACGATAATATTCAACTACTGAAATTAGGACAATTTCAGAGACTAATGGCATGCCATTGTACCTATGTTACGTATATGCATGACAGCCATGTTTAGTGCAGTACATGAATAACTTTGCTGGAACATGTTACCTCCTAGATGCAGATTACCACAATCAATGTCTGTCTATTTGTACTTGTCTGTCTATTTGTCTATTTGTACTAAGTGTCGCTTCTATCCATTATTAATCTTTAAATTTTATTGTGTTTACTTAATTTTTGTATTGTATTCTGTGTATTTCAATTTACATATTGTCTTAGTGTATTGACCTGTTAAGTAGTAAGTGCGTTGTGTTATGTTTTCAAATTAAGTTTGCGGTATAATAGTAAATACATATATAGAGCTCTCGGCTAGTACCATGAAATCTTGTGTGCAAATGTTTTGTAACAGTTTCTAGTATTGTGGAAAATGCAACAGTTTATAACAAATATTCGTGGCCGCAGAACCAACTTTCTGATAAGCACATTGTATATTGATTGTTATTTTGTAGTATTCGCCATTTTATTTCAGTGTATGTACAGTATTCCATTAAGTATCTTGTATAATTTTTTTCTATTAATGTGGAGTATAATAGTTTAGGGTCGTATAATGATAAGTAAGTGTGATGTATAATAGTAGTATTGAACCAGACTTTCTTGGTTGTAGAACTTTGTAAATATGTATTGAAATATTTTGCTGGATTTAATGTTTTGAAATGACTCGTATTCTAACTCTGCTACAATATATTATATTCCTAATTTCACTTTAATTGTTCTTTAGTTTTAGCGTTACAGTACAGCATCATGTACAGAATTGTCTACTTTTCTGATACGAGCAGTGTATATGTTGTGTTTTATTTGTAGTATCAGCTTTACTATGTCAGTGTGTACTTTTCTGATACGAGCAGTGTATATAGTGTGTTTTATTTGTAGTATCAGATTTACTATGTTAGTGTGTTTTTCAGTATTATAGTAATATTGTAGGGTTTATATTTATTTTAACTAACATTTATTTTAAGTTTAAACTATCTTTCCTGTCAAGCCTTACTTTCCCCTGGAACTGCCAATGCCAGAATATGTAAATTTGAGTAGAACGCGCAAGCATTCAAATTATCAGCGGAAGTAGTATGATTTAAATAGAAGGAAACGAGTTCGGTGAGAGTTATTCTTACTTAGTGAGCGCGGAGGTAGAAATCGAGAATTGAAGAACCCCGCGTTGCGGCCTATGTGCTTGGCGGGAAGTAGTTGCAATTGTTCCAGTGAGCTTCAAGTCTGCTGAATTAGCTGCGGTATTTGTAAAACGCGGTGAGTTAGTTATTTTAGAGAGCCTCGTAATTAGAATATTGTCTTTACTTTCTTTTCAGGTTTTTATTTTTATTTGACTGCCTAGTGGGCACAGTCTGTAAGCGTCAAGAGGACGCCATTGTAATTTATTACGTTGAATAAAAAAGGGACTTAAACCCTTTATAAGACTCTGTGGTTTATACAAGCTTTCACAGTCACCTCTTGGTTGCGTGCTAGTTAGAGGCGCGCAACGTTATATTGGCGCCCGAACACCTATCGAACTGAAATGGCCGAAAACTGGATGGAAGCCGCTGGACAACACCAAGAAATGACAACGCAGTTAGAAGGATTTGGATACCTGGTCCAGACTTTGAGAGCATCAATCATCAGCCAAACGTCTATATTTCGACGGAAAAAAAAATTCGGTGTCCGTATTTTTAGAAGGTATAGAAAACCACTTTCAGCTCTATCCTTTGCCTGAAAGACAAAAAGTTGCCTATTGCCACATCAGCACTAAGAGGACAGGCCGCGCTATGGTGGAAAAATATAGGCAAATTTCTTCTAGGTGAATTTGGAAGCCCAACGTATACATTTGAAAATTTCAAAAAATCGTTAGTAAAGGCCTTCCCCATAGTGAAAGATCGCGCACGGCTGGAAGCCGAGCTATATAGTTTCTATCACAACGGATACAGCACAATTGACGGACTTTATTTTACGAAAAATCAAGCTAACGGATATGCTGTATGGCAAGAAACCCGATGCGGAGATTATTGAAATAATATTACCAAGATTGTTACCCGCTGTCCAAGACTACTTTGAAATTAGAAACCCAAGCACATTGCAGGAACTTTTCGAATTGGCGGTGAAATTTCAAAATCGCAGAATAGCGGAAAGAGCGAGAGGGGAAACATATTCTCAAAGTACCAGAAGGAAGGAGGAAACCAGAAATGGAAATCGCTCATATGGGGGAAAGAACTATCAAGCTAACGCATCGAAACTCGAAGGTCAAGGCCCAAAAAGAAAATTTGAAAATAAGCATCCGCGTACCCAGAAGACACAGATTGAAAGGAAAGCTTTAAACGACTAGAGGGGCCTGTGAAAGGGAGGGTCCAGACCCCGGAAGTTTTAAAAAAACCCTCAAATAGACATTAAATACAGTCATCGTAAAAAACTCACAGCTACCAATTATACAAGTCCTGGTTGGCGATGTACCAGTAGAAGCCCTCATCGATACAGGGAGCAGAAGGAAATTTCATGAGTGAAAAGTTCTTCAAAAAGAATTTTTATAGGATACGACTATTTAAAACCAAAATACGGAAATTATAGCGGCGCAAGGAAAAACATGTCACTCTGCATCGGGAAAGTATCATTAAACTTTACAGATAAAAGAGGAAATCTCAAAGTATTAATTTTTGTGGTGAAACACCTGCAACACTCTCTCTTATTTTAGGTATGGACTTTTTAAGGGCCGCGAGGGCCAAATTGAATTTTCAAGTTCCGTTCCGTGGTTTGGAGATGGACCAGAGGGTGGTGGAACCGGTGGAGACAACCTGAATTGGACCTTAGCCATTTGAATGACCAGGAAAGTAAAGCAATACAGCAAGTGGTGAGTAATTTTTCTCATTTGTTTTTCAGAAAACCGGAAACTGTCAATCGTGACTCACAAGATTCAATTAAATGCCGAAAAACCTTGTAGGACTAAACCGTATCGCTATGATAAACAAAAAGACTTAATCATCGAAGAACATATTCAGGAGATGTTAAAGAATAAAATAATAACGCCCATAAATAGTGAGTACGCGAGTCCAGTCGTACTATGTAGGAAAAAGAACGAGTTTTCCTCCTTCGGATAAAAGGGCTTGGAGGTTTTGCTATCGATTATAGAAAACTAAATAGTATTAACTAAATTCCCAGTTTACCCTTTGCCGGTTATAGACGAAGATCATTAGACAGATCAAATCGACAGATATATGTCTACTTTGGACTTAACGTCTGGCTACTATCAAATAGCTATGAGACCCGAAGATATACATAAAACCGCGTTTATAACAAAATCGGGCACTTATGCATTTTTTACGCATGCCCTTTTGGGTTGTGTGGGGCCCCATCAACATTCCAGAGAGCTATGGACATTGTTCTAAAGCCTGTCCTAGGAAAATCAACTTTAATTTATCTAGATGATATAATTATAACGAGTAGTACGTTGGAACAACACATTAATGACCTCGAACAAGTTTTTAAATTATTAAAAGAAGGCCGGTCTTACAATTAACGCCTCAAAATGCAAGTTCGCAACTAAAGAACTTAAATATCTCGGTTATAAAATTTCGCAAAAGGGTATAGAAACGCAAGATTCAAAAAAAATAAAAGCTATTAAGAATTTCCCACCGCCCAACACCGCCAAGAAACTTTCGTCTTTCCTTGGACTATGTTCTTACTATCGATCTTTCATAAAAGATTTCGCTAATATTGTTGAACCACTCTTAGTAATCAAAAGAAAAAAGAGTAAATTTACGTGGACAGCTGAAGATAACACAGCTTTTGAAAGATTAAAAGAAGCGCTTATTAATGCCCCTGTTTTTTAAAATTCCCTGAGGGGGACGAAAACCTGGAAATTGCGGCAGATGCGTCAGACTATGCGGTGGGTGCGGTTCTTATGCAAAATAACCATCCGCTGGCATTTTTTAGTAAAACATTGAATCAAACACAAAGGAATTATACAGCTACAGAAAGAGAAACATTAGCCGTATTAATGGCTGTACACAAATTTCGAGTTTATTTCGGCAAATCGCCAGTAACAGTCTTTTCGGATCATGCGGCTGTTGGTAGACTTTACTCGGGAAAAAACCTAACGCCCAGGTTAATAAGATGGGCTTTAAAACTCCAAGAATATATCACCCAATAAAATATAAACCGGGTAAGGAAAACAATGTAGCTGACGCACTTTCTCGTATAAAACTGGACGATGAAGGTAATGAACTTAAATGCGCTGTGTTGACTTCAAAAATTTTAGATTCTAGAGATACGGTTATTACTGAACTGAAAGCTGATCCTGAATTTGGAAATATCTATGCTTATTTGAAAGACCCCCGAAAGCTTTGAGCACACAGATATCGATGCGATAAGAAATAGAGCAAAAACTATGAAATAATAGATAATTTATTATTCTATACGAAAACAACAAACG